ATATATATATATATATATATATATATATATTATTAAAGGAAGGTTTTTGGGTTATAACCCTCATTATTCATATACGTGGTCTTTTCAATTTTTTGGAAATCTAGATACATGGTATTTTTCGAGAAGTTGATGTTAAAACTAACAACCCACTATCACTATTAAGACAAATAGTTTTCTCATTTTTTGAAAAGATAGACATGTGATAATTTTTGAGAAATTCCTGTTAAAGCCCATAACCCATTACTAGACTACACCCCCCCACCATTCAAACATGTGACTTTCTCAATTTTTTGAAAAGTTAAACATGTGGCATTTTCTAAGCAGTTGCTACTAAACCTCACAACCCATTACCACCATTCAGACACGTGGCATCCTATTAATTCAAGAAATAGAATTCAAAAAGTGGGTAATTTCACTCCTAAACATTCTCAATAGATTATTTACTTATTAGTTTAATACATGTTTATCCATAGTATATTAAATACAAATGTGGAACCCATTAAAAGATTACCATAAACCATGTTTGTTTTTAAATGATATTTTTTTCCAAAAAGAAGATACTTTATTAATTACAAACTTGACTAAATTTTTAGGAAGCAACCTGATGAGGGATAATTTGGCATGACCTAGTAAGTAAAGGTCGCGTGGACGCGATCTACCCGTAGAATGACAACTCAGCAAGGGTAGCCTAGTCAACGATTTTCAGAGTTTGAATGTTTGGACACCTCGGCATAGAGTCACCTCAGCATAAAGTCATCTCGGCATAAAAGCACCTTGGCGCCTAAGCCAGTTCGGGGCCCAGGAACTGAGGTGACATGTAATCGATTCCAAAAGCTTCCCAACGGACTCCGAACGTCACAGAATCATGCCGCGTAAAGGTAGGCCTTATCCTCTTCCCACCCGGATTAGATGGCGACGATAAACTTCATTGACTGGTACGTTACCCCCCAACTAAAGCGGAAACAAATCTCATCCACTCAGGCTGAAGATCTCGAAACCGTTTCGTGAGACCCACGATAGGTTAGCTATATAGGAGCATCAACCCCTCCAGGGTCCAGGTACGCACAATTACTCACATTCAAGCTCTCTAGCATCCATACTAGCTCGCAAATACACAGAATACCGATTTAAGCAACGGAGCGACCTCATTGGATTTTCCATCCCAGTCACTCTGACCATTGTTTTGCAGATTGATCCAACTCACCACGCAAGTACATCCAAGCAGTTCTCCAGCTAGGAGCTTCTAGATCGCGCATCATCACAACCTAATTTAATTTAAAAATAAATAACTCAAAATAGATTTATTAGATAAATAAAAATACCAAATAAAGTGAGTTGTTGTTTACCAATAAGATATCATTTAATATCTTAAATCAAATTAATAATAGATTGTCAATTACAAAAATGCAAGACTCATATTAATTTTTTAATTTAATTTTTGATAATTAAATAATAAGCTTCAAATTAAATTATATACATATTTACTTACCCGGTGCTCAGGGATCATTCTCTAATGTCCTAATTAAACGAAGGCAACGAGTTCTTATGATCAAGGTCAAGCCATTGTATTGGGCTAAGATTTAGGTCCACGTGAGCTTAGCCCTCAATTCTTAGCCAGGTCCACGTCAAGCCATACATCTACAGGCTACTCTCCCAGATGAAACAAAAGGAAAGAATCAGATGGTCAGAATCCAGCTGTGTCTTCTCATCTTCGCTGTCAACTGTCTTTCACGGAATGCTGGTGGGGCCTGCCCTCTGCCTACATCACAAAACAAACCCCGTTCATGGGGGTCATGACTCGTGTGTTTGATCTTGATGGGGTTGATGTAAGGGTGTGACGGAGGCTTCATGTCCTCCCGTTCAACACTTGGATACTATTATAGATTTGGAACTTTGGATACAATAGACCCAAATCGCCAACCGAACCAACCAAGAATTTCTCGCTTTATTTCTTTTTATTTTACCGTTGAAATGGCGTGTAGTGTCAGTGTGTTTCGTTGTTTCGATGCATATCTGTGTCTCAAGTCCAACAGGCAACAGACATACATACTTCAGCTACGGGATCGACATGCTCTCACTAAACCATATTTGAGAAAACTGCCTCAAGTCCGCTTCGAATGCTGACACCAACAGAAGCACCCGTACCAGCTCGTCATTTCCTTCCCCCTCCTAACTCTTTTTTTCCCTCCCCTACTGACCACTCTCTCTCTTTCTCTGTCTCGCACTCGGAGCTCGAGAGAGGGAGAGAGAGTGAGTGGAACTGTGCAAGTGTAAAGAAAGGGAGAGAAGGTATCTCCTCGGCAACGCCAAATCCAACGTTACAGTCGGAATTTCAGGACACAGAAAAGAAAAAGGTTGGTGAAGGGGGAGAGAGGTGTTAAAGTAAAAGGAGAAAAAGAGAAAGAAGGTGGGAAGTAAAGTTAGTGGTGGCAAGGGGGAAGAATGGCGAGAGCATTTGTGACTGCGACTCCTTTGCTGTTAGTGCTACTTTCTTTCTATACAGGTCCGTCTTGCATTAATCGCCCTTCAGATCATTTTCTCTTATGGTTTTGAGCTTCCATACCTCTCTTCTTTATGTTATTTAACTACATTTTGTTTTTTTCCTTCTACTTTCTTTTCACTCATCATAAAATCTTCAGTTTCTGTTACTTAGTCCGACTTTTTATTTTGTTACTTTTCTTTTTTCTTGCTCCCATTTTTGCATTGCTTAATATCTTAGAGCATTTTAAGCTAATCTTCATCTGCAGTTTGTCTTGGTGTTTTCTCTCTGATTTGGGCTACTGTTATCATACTTCCATAATATCTTTCATTTTTGTTTGTTGGGTGTAACCGTGCGAGCACTTTTTTTTTTTGGTATGGTCTTCCCTTGATGTTTACTTTAACTTTTGTCCGTTCAAATATCGTTTTCTTTCGTACAGTTCTCTCTTCTGTAAATCTTGTAACTTGGAGCAAAACCCTCCTTTCTTTCCCATAATGCCAATACTTGGACAGGGAGGAGGGCCTTTTTTTGTTTTTTGTTTTTGTTTTTTCCTTCAGAAATCCTTAACAAGGAAGTGTTTGTAACAAGCAAGTGTTTGTGTTTTTCCTCCCCTAGTTTTTCTAAGTTGATTTGCTACTTATTGCTAGATGTTGGTTGTTGATGGTTTCGGAAATTAATAGCTTTTGTACATTACTTTGAGGTTATTAATGCCAAGTTTGGCTTCTCTGGTGTTCCATCTTTACTGCGACTTTGAGGTTGTTGCTTGTTGTTTGTTGTGGAGGACTGAGCAAGAAGAACATGGGATTTTATTTATCTATTATTTCCCTGGCTTCCTTATCTGTACTCATTTTATGCGTGCAATTCCTGGATTTTATCCATGCTAAGTATACATTTCAACTTGGTGCAATATGTCACACTGAACGATTGCACTGTGACAGCGTCTCCAACGTAATGACCAGTGTTGAGTTTATGAAGCATTTAAGCTTTTAGGGAAGTACTTAAAGCAATTATTTTTGCCATTAACTCCTATAGCCATCCTTTGAACTGCAGTATTAGAGCCTTAGAGGTTTGGTTCAACTGACATGGAAGCTGGATTAGCGAGCATCAAATATGATTGGATGATAAATGTGGTAGTGAGTCCCACAAAGAAGAAATTACAGAGGAGTTGGGAGAGAGAGGCGCCCTACTAGATTACAGCTATGAGATGGATAGGTAGATGAGAAACGTTGTAACCTTCTCCAACTAAGATATTAAATTTAGAGTAACACATTCTGTGGATAAAGACACAACAACCATTTAATGTGTCTTATGAAAGATGATCACCTCAACATTTATTGATGGTGAAGAGTTAGATAATATTTCTTGGGAGATTGATGTGTATAACCTCATTCAAATGGTTACTGAACAAAAGTTAGCGTGCAGATTATGAAAATGTAGTCAGAGAGTAGGTGCTAACTACTCTGATGAGAAATTTGATAATGGACTGGCAATGCAGTGTTTTGAATTTATTATTCCATATTTCCATCGGATTCATCTAGACGCATAATGTCTAGAATAATAGAAATAGAAATAATAGTTTGAATCACTTGATTAATCACGCAACTAAGTGGTCAGAAGCGTAGGCTTCCTTCATCTTGTCATCTGGTGATGGTGCCAAGATTAATGTTACTTCACCAAACAGCCTTGACAACATTGGAGACATTTAGGTTTGTGTATGTTGGTTGGGGTGGCTGATCATGATGTCTTGTGGGAACTGATAAAAGGGCCATTACCCAGTGCTGGGCCCAGCTATCCAGAATTGAGAGGAGTGGACTGGATACAGGCCAAACCTTCATCGTTTTCTTGCACAATGTGGCTGCTCTCAGACTCAAATGATCAAATCTGTGTGTCCTCATGTTAATTTGTTATCCCAAGATGGTTGGGACTTGGAAAGTCAGGCCAACTTGGTTTTTACCATGTGTTCTGATGGTCATATTTATTTTCTGTTGGCTTTGTGATGGCTGTCTGCCAGGTCTCTATTTAATCAATCCGTTGTAAAGCTAGTCAAACTGAAGTGGTTTGCTGAATTGTGTTTTTGACTTTTGAGAACTAGGTAGTCTCTACATTCAAAACCTCTGCTTACATTGTGATTCAGAGACCTGTGATTCCCCATGCTTTGTTATGATTGATAGGTTTGCTCTTTTCAGTGTTTAAGCCTACCATCTTTGTTGTATAGCTTTAAATGATGTAGCTTCAAAGCAAGGCTCCAAGATTTTGCTTTGATTCCTAGGCCACAATTACATATTTTGCAACTTAAGTGGTGTATGCCCTTAGTCCCAAGTGGCAATGCAAGCCAAGGTATAAACTTCAATATAAATTGTACAGGTATAGTACAAAGAACTCGTTGCCTTTTTAAATTTTTTATCTTTGTGCCTACAGCCTACAGAAATTAAGAGATCAATTTTTCTTAAAGCATATTTTTTCAAGAGTTAAATTTTCTTACCAATAATCTGTGACATTTGTGTTTATTCTAAACAGGATTCATTGCTTCAAAAGTTGAAAATTTTTTGCTTCCATGAAATGTTGAAATTGCTCCTACAATATTGCCCTAAGCTGCTAAAGTTGTCATTTTTTATTACAGAGCTCTGCAGGGCAAGCACAATTGGAGTCTGCTATGGAAGAAATGCTGATGATCTTCCCACCCCTGATAAAGTAGCCCAATTGGTTCATCTGCACAATATCAAATATGTAAGGATATACGACTCCAACATTCAGGTTCTCAAGGCCTTTGCCAATACTGGGGTTGAATTAATGATAGGGATTCCAAATTCAGATTTGCTGCCATTCTCCCAATTTCAATCCAATGCAGATACATGGCTTAGAAACAACATCATGCCCTACTATCCTGCCACTAAGATTACATATATAACAGTTGGTGCAGAAGTCACTGAAAGCCCCACCAACATCTCAGCCCTTGTCATACCTGCCATGCGAAATGTCCACACTGCTCTGAAAAAAGCTGGTTTGCACAAGAAGATTAAAGTCTCTAGTACTCATTCTCTTGGAGTCTTATCTCGATCATTCCCACCATCTGCTGGCGCTTTTGACCCAAAGCATGCCTTCTTCTTGAAACCCATGTTGGAATTCCTTGCAGAGAACGAGTCCCCTTTCATGGTTGATATTTATCCTTACTATGCTTATAGAGACTCCCCTACAAAAGTTTCTCTAGATTATGCTCTATTTGAGTCATCCTCAGAAGTTATTGATCCAAACACGGGCTTGCTTTATACAAACATGTTTGATGCCCAGATTGATGCTCTCTATTTCGCACTGATGGCACTAAATTTCAGAACAATAAAAATAATGGTTACTGAGACTGGGTGGCCCTCCAAAGGATCACCTAAAGAGACTGCAGCAACTCCAGATAATGCCCAAACCTATAACTCAAATCTAATTCGCCATGTCGTGAATGATACAGGAACACCAGCAAAGCCTGGGGAAGAGCTTGATGTCTATATCTTTTCATTGTTCAATGAGAACAGGAAACCCGGCTTGGAATCTGAGAGGAACTGGGGCTTATTTTATCCTGACCAGACAAGTGTATACAGCGTGGATTTGACTGGAAGAGGGGCTGTTGACATTACAGAGGCCAACATTACTAGTTCTAATGGAACCTGGTGCATTGCTTCATCTACTGCTTCGGAACTTGACTTGCAAAATGCTTTAGATTGGACTTGTGGCCCTGGGAATGTGGATTGTTCAGCCATCCAGCCTAGCCAGGCTTGTTATCAGCCGGATACTTTAGTCTCTCATGCATCCTTTGCATTTAATAGTTATTACCAGCAAAATGGAGCTACAGATGTCGCTTGCAGCTTTGGAGGTACAGGGGTGAAAACTAACAAGAACCCAAGTAAGTATGTTGTGCATTCAACATTTTTTTAGTGATAATTCTTCTCAAAATAAGGCCTTCATTATTTCTTCTCCAAGTGAGTATCCACTATACCCTTTGGCAGCTGTGTGAAGGGGTCCTGTAAGTGGAAAATCCAATTATTGTTATAGTAATTGATCAAGGCAAATTTTTTCATTGTTGGATGATCATGACCAAATGATACTTTCTTCATCTCTGTTCCGTTCTAAATCAAGTACGTGATCAGAAATGGAATGGGTCTGCAAGATTAGAAGGTTTTCCACTTGTCATAAAACCCTCATGGAACTGTCTTGTTTGTCATAATACCTACAATTATTTTGTACATGTCTGTCTGGATTTGTTTCTTGGAGCTGGGACTGGGTTTGGACTCATCATTAGCGTGTGTAATGTGTGCAGGCTACGACAATTGCTTGTACATGACATTTGGGTACGTATATCTCAGTGAGATAATAATCTTTCCTTTTCCTTATTCTAGTGTTAGCATAGTTTATCACTGAGCTAAGAAAATCTTTTGCTTTCAATTTTGCACAGGAGTAATACGAGCGCTGCAAGCAATGTCACAGCATCTCTTTCAAGTTCGCCATCTATAGACTTGAGTATTTCTGCATGGATGACTGGTTTCCTACTTATGATCTCTCTCTCTCTCTTATTCTTCTGATTTTGTGGCGGTGTTAAAAATTTAAAAGAAGCCTGGGATGGGAAGAAGTTTTGGAGAAAATATCCTGTTACATGCAGGGAGATATGTTCGAGAGGGAAGTTTGCATTTCCAAGTTACAAGTGTTGTAGAGGAAATCTATATTCCAAGTTACTTATATTAATATTATATTGGAATATTGGATTAGGATGTAGATCTGTAAATGCATGCATAGTCATGTTCTAATATGTGCTACTGTGACTGTGACACCATGGTTAATTATTGGTTGGTCATTGGGTATAGGTTAAATTTTGGTGTCATTTGAGTGTGTCTATTCAGTGTCTATTCTCGTCAACCCATTTACCATTTCCCATCTTTATGGTTTTCTTAAGAGTCGGAAATTAAAAGTGTATCAGTTATGTTTAAGCTCTTTTTATTTGTAGCCATTTCTTGTTCATTTTATTAGTATATATATAATCCTTTTTTTTTTTGTTTTTTGACTTGCATTCTCAGATAAACCTGACGCTTATGTTGGCTGATTTTCTTTTCAACTTGTAATCCCAAATTTGGATGCAGGAGATTATACGAATTATGGAAATAGACCATTCGGAATTTAAGGGTTTTGGAGGGAGATTCAAATTTTCAAGAATCTCTTTCCTCTCTATTGTTTGTCTTTTCTTCTTCCCACCCTTGAGTGTATGGGAAGATTCTTTGTCTCACATTACTTGGGAAAGGAGCGGAGGTCGAGTATATTTATAATTTTGCTCCATATGGGTAGGGACTGTTCATGGGCCTAATAGCCCGACGGGCCAACCCAGCCCCCGAATGGGTTTGAACACAGATTTGAGCCTGTGGGCTTGAATCCAAAGTTCAAAATATAGATACGCCCGAAATGTCGGTAGGGGTGTATTGTTTCGATACTTGTTTTTTTTTACCTTCTTTTTAATTTTTTATTTTCAAAACTGGTTTAAGGGAGTCGGTCTAGGACCCCTCCACCCCTTGAATTGGTCAGACCCCCGATACACCCATTGTAGGGGTGTATCGGAGGGGTCCCGGAATGATACGTACCGGTCGATACATAATGATACTTTGAACCTTGCTTGAATCTATTACGGGCCGAACAACCTGACTATTTTATGGGTTGGGCTCAGGATTTGTTAAAAAAGCCTGACTCGACTTTTAGGTTAAATAAAAAACCCTAAATATCCTAAGTTACCCCTCTTCTCATTCATCTCTTTCTAGTCGAACCTCTCATCTTAGTAATGGAATACTCATTGATGCAACCTCACTCTCAAGCAGACAAAACTAGCGAAGTCACCGACGCAACCAGTGAATTCCAGTGGACCAACGGTGAGTCCTCTCTCTCTCTCTCTCTTTCCTCTTCTCACTTCTCTCTCTCTCTCAGACGCAAACTCAAGCATCGACGAAGCGACAAACACAGGCATTGGTGGCAGCGGTGAATCCTCTCTCTCTCTCTCTGATGCGAACTCAGCACCGGCGAACACAGTCATTGGCAGTGAGTTCTTTCTTCTGTTAGGTTGGGCTTTGGGCTCGGGCCCATGTTATAGGCTCGTAACCGAATTACACCTTTTTAATTTAAAATGTCTTCAATTTCAAATTTAATTTTAAAATAAAACGCTTTCGATTTCAATGGACACATTTGTGTCCATTCGGGTTTGAGAGCGAGCACTCTATAAGAAGAGTGTTGGCCGACCCAGTCTTCTCTTTCCTCTCTGTGAAATATGAGCATCATCTTCCTGTTGTTCGCGGAGGTCTGGTAAGTGAGTGCACGCCTACCAGTGGCCTGCGATCTGTTTTATCTTGGCGATTGATTTACGATCACCCGGCTGCACCGTATAGGGATAAATGTGATTTTAAAGAGAATGACTAAGTGGTACGACTCGGCCCTCCTACCTACAATTCTCGATTTCGAGATTTTGCAACTTTACATTACTGCAACTTTAATTTGGAAAGTGATTACCGATAAGTCTCATTCTACTTCTCTCTTTTTTATTTTTACAACAAGGGGATTTCGATTCTAATGTGGATGAAACTGGCCCAGTTATGTTGAAAGTTAGCCAGGATAACCAAAGAAATGAAGGTGGTTGTTGCATTAATTTTTTGGGGTGGTAAAAAAATAGTCGTAGCGGAAACAAATAACCTCAAAGTTTTGCAATGTATTGTCATAAAAATCCCCTTCTATTGATGTTTACTCAAGGTCTGTTATTTGCACAAGTTTTAGCTCTTAGCTTCAGGTGTTTTGGGTCGAGTCTTGGTGTTTCCTGTTTTTGTTTCTCCAGTTTGCTTGAGAAATTTCTTCTTGCTAGAAAAAATCCTCTAGTTTGATGATGGTTTGGTGGAATATTCCCTTAATCCTGCAATCGAATTCTAGTTTGATGATGGTTTGGTGCCAGAAGGGACTGCCACCATGTTAGCCCGTGAACAGAGTACCTTTGTGCTGTTTGTAAAAGGAGGAAAGCCAATCACTCAACGCTAGATAGTACTCTCACTACTGATTTTTCACGTGTCCATATAACCTCTTTCTCAGAAAACTATTATATATAATAGTTTTTTGTTATTAATTTTATTATTATATTAGATATGAAATATTATTAATATATATATCATATTTCTATTATATATTTAATATTATTAGGCTGTGTTTATTTAGAAAAGCTCAAGGCCCGATTTTTAGAAACCAAGCGTGAATTTGTGGATTTAAAATTTTATACAAAGCCTGACTTAGGATGAGCCGGATCAGGTCAGACCATTGGGCTACCCAGCCCCCTGGACAGTTCTAGTTAGGATACATATTACAACCTTTCAATGAAAGCACCATGTTACAACTCTTCAATGAAATGTGGACACAGGTAATGTAAAATTGTAAATAAATTCAAAACAATCATGCTTTTCATCATTGACCCGTGCTTCATTAGGTGGTTCACCCGCTCAACCGATAATAACATTGTAAAAACCTTCATTTAATCGCGATCAGGAAAGGCCACCAGTTTCCAATTTTCATAGTATGATCATCTATTTCAGGTTGAGCCTTACAACCAAGGATCAAATCATTGGTGTTGGGTATCGTATTTTACAATTTGAAAACGAATACAGATATGTTTTGAAAACATGTGGATACAAACATAAGATCTATATCTATATCTATACTATTTTAAAAATACGAATGGCCTCAAGAATATTTCTGAAATTTTCTAAGGACAATATTTACCCCTCTATATTTAAATTTAATAATAAAAAAATGAGGGCAAATAGGGTAATTGGTTCTTGATATTAAATGAGTTGAAAAGAGGTAATTTAAAAATATTCAATGCATTCAATCATCTTTCATTAAATCCAACATTTAAGTTATTAACTTGCATTCATGTTTATTGAATCGTATATTTAAGTCATTTTTACTTCTTCTCATCATTAAGTTTTATTAATTAAATCCATACTTAATAAATTAATAATTCCAATAACATAAAAGCTTATACCTTTAAAATCTACCTAGCAAAAATAGTGTTTTTATCTAAGTCGTGGTAAGAAAATAATTAAATCATTTTGGGTCAAATGGGTTAATCCATGCTTCCATGATTAAATAATAAAATTAAAAAATAGATAAAATGAAAAAAAATAGAAATTTAAAAAATTGGAAACATTTTTAACATACATATTAAAGAATAATAAGTATGTTAAATAAGAAATGTTTTTATTAATGATGAAAACGGAATGTAAAATTTAAAACCACTTGAAAATAAAAATATTTTTCTATTTCCTCTCATTAAATCCTATATTTAAAATATATTTTTCTCATCATTAAATTCTTGTGTTTAAATTGACAATATTAATTTTAATAGTATAAAAATAAATATTTTGAAAAGTAATTTGAAAACAAAACCATTTTCTTCCCTCGCGGTGGTGGGCAAGCAATTTGACCAATTGGGGTCAAATGGATTAATAAATAATGTCATAATTAAATAATAAAAAATTAAAATAAATAACTATGAAATGTAAGAAGTATTTTTATTAATGATGAAAATGGAAAGCCAATTTTAAAATCTACCTAGAAATTAAATGATGTCATAGTCAAATAATAAAATTTTTAATAATAGAAAATATAAAGAATCACAAAACTAAAAAAGATAAGAGAAAATTTTGGGTACATATCTAATGTTATATATTTATAAAAAATAAAATATTGGGTATATCTCTAATATTGTACATTCATTATATTGAACAAAAATAAGTTTTATACATAAGAAATAATTTTAATAATGATGGAAATGTAATACAAAATTTAATGTCAACCTAAAAATCAAACAATTTTTATTTTTAGATGGTGGGTTAGTGGTTTGAGTAAAATGATACCATAGACAAACAAAAATTAAGTGTGATAAGTAAAAAATATTTTATGAAATATATAATTTAAAGAGAAAATTATAGTCAAAGTCGGTTGTATATTTAAAATTAGGTTGTAGGTTGGTTCAAAAACCAACCAAACTCTGAAAATCAGCTCTACATTTCAAATTATAAAAACCCCCGCCATTTCATTAGAGGCTTATGTGGTTGTTGCCAACATATGACTCTTATTCCATGTTGGACATAGAAGAAAACCTATATCGAAAATAGGTTTTCAATTTCTCTCACTCTCACAGTCATCTCTCGATCTCTCGCTCCATCCGTCTCTCCTATTGTCTTTGCTTTGGTCTGTAGTCAAATCAAAACATCTCTCTTTCTATTGTTCTCCCTTAATCTTTCTCATTTTTCACCCTCACTCTCCTTCTCGGTCAAAATCTCCTTGCCCCTCAATCTCTGTCGTTTTCCAATTGGTGTAAATTTCATAGCCAAGAGTTTCTTGTGAATTTTATCAAATTGGTGTAATAATTTTTGAACCATACCAAGGTGGTCTCATGTTCTTTTATACAATCCGATTAATACCATAAAGTGTGTAAGAAAATAAGAAAATAAAAACATCTCATAAAATCATTAGACTCGTGATTTTTTATTCCAAAAATACCCTTAACACTTTTTTTTGTACATAAAACACAATTAACCAAATATAGCCAATAGAGTGGTTGCCCGTGTCTTATTAAGGATACAAATGGTATTTTTATTTTTATTTTCCATTGTTTAAATTTATTTAAATGAGCATTATGGTCAACACTATCATTTTCCACTGTCATCTAATGAAAAATTGATTAAATCCATTGGAAATTATAAATGTTGTTTTAATAAAACACAAAATATAGGGTAGAGTTTAGTAAATCCATGAAACTATAAATGATATTTTAGTAGGTGACCTTTTCTATTGTTTAACTTTCACTTAATGAATCCCGTGCATCGCACGGGTCTCCACTAGTACATATTATTTAGAAGGAAACAAGCAAACCCAACATAACAACAACAATAAAAAAGCCAAATATCCGAAATATCGGCCCCCTTAATAGTTTTATGG